TCTGAGAGGAGAAGCCTCAATTGAGGAATTGCCTAGGTCAGCTTAGTCTAGCCTGTCTGTGAAGGATTCTCCTACTAACTGATTTGAGAGGTCCCAGCCTACTTTGGGTAGCATCATTCTTTAGGCAGGTGGTCCTCAGCCATACATATTTAAAAAACAAAACAACAACAACAACAAAAAACCCTAACTAAGCAGAAGCCAGCCGACATCACCACTCCATGGTTCCTGCCGCTAGGATTCTTCCTTGAGTTTCTGTTCTTATCATCCTCTGTGATGGACTGTGACCTGGAAGTATGAGTCAAATAAACCCTTTCCTCCTCAAGTTGCTTTTGGTCAGAATGTTTTATCATAGCAACAGAATAAAACAAGAACAGGAGATAAGAGATACATGGGCTTAGGGAGGAAAATTCCTCAAGTCTGAGAATACCCTGTAAGCAAAGTTTTTTGTTGAGATCTGTAACACAGCTCCAGCGCTAGTGAGTATTGGGTCTGGGTATCCAGGAGAAAGTGTAAATGTCTTAGTTGTAACTTGGTAAGTGAAGAAACGGACCTCTTTTAAATTGCATTTAAGTCATTAGTGATGGAGTTTAGAGAACGTTAGAACTGCTTGTGGTAGTATAGACCCATAATCTCAGTACATGTGAGGCTGTGGCAGGAAGATTGATTTCAAGGGCAAAAACCTGGGTTATAGAGACATTTTCCCAAAGCATTGCAATTGAGGGATATGATTTTAATTCCAAAGATTGAGGCCTGTGCACACTCCTTAATGTATATGTATGTAGAAATCAGATGGCCTGCTTCTACTATCTCTCCAGGGTGTTGTTTCTAATGATAATTACTAGAAAAAACTTGGCACCTGTAATTTGTTCTACAGGAAAACTGAAATTGAATTTTCAAGAACCATCACTTATAAGAACACAATCTCTAACTAGACTTTCCTTTTAGACCAGAGAACATGAGAGACAAGTCATACAGTATGCCCATTTTTTGAGTTGTTTGCTCTGGGGAAGCTAGAACTTGTACATTTTTATACATTTCATGTGGGTGCTACAAGTTTTCACAAGAGTCACCCAAGTCTTTGGCTGAAATCTAAAGCCATGTTTGCATTGAGTGAGATTCTAGGAGCTTGGTCAAGGAATGGTAATGGATTCCTTGTCTTCTGTGAATGGTCCAGCCTTAGCAGCCCTGGTTCATCATCCATTGGCTGGGAGCAGCCTGCGACAAGGATATTCTCAGTGTAGGTGGATTTCAGATCCCAATTCAACAGCCAAGGTACCTGTTGGCAGCTAGAGTAATAACTCTTATTAGCTGTCCCACTTTAACTATCCCTGTGAAGAATGACCTTTGTAGGCTACCAGAGAGGCTCACATAAGCCACTAACTGTGAATAGCACTCCATCATTCATTCTCCTTCCTGAGGGTAAATACAACCTCATAGTTTTCAGTATGTTGGGGAGTAACACTCCCCAACAGTGGTATTAATAAACCCGAGAAGCATATTCTAATAGATGCCAGGATAGAAGTAGGAGTGGTGCTGTCATGAAAAACAGGAAGGAACTCCAGGAATTGCTCCCAGAATTGAAGAATCCATTAAAAGGGCAAAAACTGATAGAAATAACAGCAGTCAAGGAAGTGCTTAATGAAGACAGAGACTGCTAAAATTTGTTAAGAAGGCGTTGTTGTATTTATTGTTTCTTTCTCTGCTGTTTCTCATTCCTCAGTATGATAGGGTCTCTGGCGGGGGAGGGCAGTGAGAGGCCTGAAATTCCTATATGGCCAGCTGGTGCTAGAAGGCCATGACAGACCTTGCTTTCAAAACCATGGTTGTATATTTTAACCATCGTAGTGGTTTCTGTAGGGCCTTATACAGACAGTTGGATTGTTTCACCAGGCCCAGGCTGGAGTACCATTCCCAGGAGTATCTACAGAAACATGTGAAGACAAGGCTAGAGAGTTAAGATAGCTCAGTCAAGAAAGTGCTTGCTGTGTCTACATATAGCTTATGCACATGCCCACTTGAATGTGTACATTCGACATACATGTACACACACATACAAAATGTAACAAAGACAGGCAACACTCTAATAGAGAAAGCAAGAAAGACACCAAAAGCATTTAGGACACAGAAAATTAAGAGGGAAGATGCTTAATGGAGTATTATAATACCTTTTAGAAATATAATAGAAATGGTCATCTAGACAAAATTTATTAGTAGAGACTTGATAAGGGCATTCTATAATGGTAATGGGGCAATTAGATAGGAACAAATAAGTGTGTGTGTGTGTGTGTGTGTGTGTGTGTGTGTAACAACAGAATTACAAATACATCAGCATAGAAAAACTCGTGGATTCAACATTCAATGTGATGGTACACAGATATAAAGATACCCAGTAAGCAAATAAGCATACAAAGTGCTCAGCACTGCTAATCACTGGGGAAATGCAAATGAAGCCATAACACAAGACTGTCGCATACCCACTATTATGGCTAAAATGATGGAGATTAAATTTTTTTTGAGAATTTCATGAGTTCTGAATTTACATAATTTCCCTCTCCTTTCTATCACTCCAACACACACACACACACACACACACACACACACACACACACACACACGAACCAGGTATAGGGAAGTGGTTCAGTGGATAAGTGTGTTTACTGCACAAGCCTGAAGACCTGAGTTCAGATCTCAGCATGAACAACAAAACACAAAAATCCAAGCTTCCCCACATGTACCCATTGCTGGGGTGGGGGGCAAGAGCATGAAGTAAGATGATTGCTAGATCTTCATTGGCCACCTGCCTAGCCAATGAAATAAGGTGGAGAGAGATAAAGGAGGGTGATTAATATACTCCTCTAGCTCTGAGGGCATTGGCACCTGCATTTACATGTATACCACACACACACACACACACACACACACACACACACACACACACACGCACAAATCAGTAATTCCATGCTAGGCTTCACATATGAGAAATAACATGCAGTTCTTGTCTTTACAGGCTTGAGTTGCCTCACTTAATATGTTTTCCAGTTCCATTCATTTTCCTACGAACTTCATTTTTATTCATAGATGAATAAAATTTCACTCATTGTCCACCAGATGATGGTCCTCTAAGCTGACTGTGTCTCCTTGCTGTTATTGTAGAGAGCTGCAATAAACATGGATGTATAAGTGTCTCCATTAGAATAAGGATTCCTTTGGGTTTATTTTGATTTTTTAGTGTGTATCAGTTGTTCAATGAATGGGTTTCATAATGACATTTTGTTTTGTCACTTTCTCTAATTTCAATGTGTCCTAAGTATGTTTGCCAAAATGGTATTGCAGTGTACGTGTTAGACATGTTAACTTTGAGGTACCTAGAAGTAAAGAATTTGGCTATCAGCACAGAAATGGACATTAGAGATGTAAATTTGTGAGTCATTGATATGATTATTGAAACCAGAGTAAGTAGAGAAATTAAAGTCTATAGAATACCAGCTTCTAAAGGAGACAGACAAAAATCTGGCTAAAAAAATGGGAAACAAGGAGTGAAGGAAAGGGAAGAACCAAGGCAGACGATTTCAGGAGGGGCAGTTTTTTATAGGATCGGATGTGGCTCATACAGTAGGAATCATTTGATGTGCATGGCTACTGCTGCTGGAATGTCACAGGGGAGTCAGCACTGCAGCATAGTGGACAGTGAAATGCAAAATGGCAAGGGCATGAACAAGCACTTCAACTTGCTACTTGCCAGTTTTATGACACCCTCCCACACCAATGCGTTCTATTCTCCTTGCACACGTAATGAGACAGCATGCTTCCTGTTACAATACATTCCTTTCCCTCAAAACAAAATTCCAAGCACCTATAGCTAGGACACTTTTGGGCAAGTACTTGGGTTACTCTAAGAACAGATGTGGAGGGAGAAATGCTCATAAGATGTCAAGCCTAATATGTAACATATTTCAGAACCTAACAGCTCCTTTTTAATACTAAGTCATTTACCTTGTAAATATAATGTATACTATCAATCTTTAGCACCTATTTTCTAATTTAAAATGTCACTGACCTTTCTACCAGTGTACAATATACCAGTTTTACAATATAAAACACAATGATAAGCAATCTATAAACTTTTGAGGATCAGTAAAATAGATGAATTCTATCAATATGAGCCTCTGCATTCAGACAAAACAAAGACACATGTATGTGCCCAAAACTGTCTGAAGTGTTTGCAATGTGCTTTATGTAGAAGAACTTCACTTAAGCTCAAGTTTGTTCTTATGCATTTTAGCTAACAATAAAACTTCTATAAAGAAAATTCTAGCTCGATGTTGGTGGCACATGCCTTTACATCCCAGCACTGCGGAAGCAGAGCAGGCTGAGTTCAAGGCCAGCCTGATCTACAGAGCAAGTTTCAGGATGGCCATAGCTACACAGACAGATCCTGTCTTGAAAAACAAAAATAATCTTCTACACGCCAGCATCCAGTTATGCCAGCACCATTTGTTGAAGATGCTTTCTTTTTTCCATTGTATAATTTTAGCTTTGTCAAAAATCAGATATTCATAGGTTTGTAGGTTAATATCAGGGTTTTCAATTCGATTCCATTGGTCTACTACAGATAGATCCATATCTCTCACCATACACAAAACCTTAAGTCCAAATGGATCAAAGACCTCAACATAAATCCAGCCACACTGAACCTCTTAGAAGAGAAAGTAGAAGGTACCCTTGAACAACTTGGTATAGGAGACCACTTCCTGAACATATCAGCAGCACAGACACTGAGATAGACAATTAATAAATGGGACCTCCTTAAACTGAGAAGCTTTTGTAAGACAAAGGACAGTCAACAAGACAAATTGGCAGCCCACAGAATGGGAATAGATCTTCACCAGCCCCACATGTGACAGAGGGATGATCTCCAAAATTTACAAATACATAAAGCATACCACTTTCCCTTTTATATAGCTTTGTTCACAACTAACACATTTCCACCTTTATCATAGGTACCGGAGATTTGAAAAGGCCTTTCTCTTAGCTGTTGACATTGGTGCTCGTGACCTGTTTATGGTAAGTCATTCCCAGAGATGATTTTTGTGCCTTTAGTTCTAAGGCTGAGTAAGTTGTCAGCTTTTGTGACCATTAAAAGGGATTAGTGTCATTTGTAGCCTTAGACACATGGAGGGGAGGCAGTATTCCAACATGGCTTGCAGCATTGCCTTAGTGACGCTGGTCAATAGCTATCTAGTATCTTTTGACTTGTTGACATTTTTCTTGCCAGAGCCAAAAGATCTTTTATGTTTTCAAAGCGTTTATAATTCTTGAACTTTTCTCCCCATGAACCTTGATGTGCAGGATTGACACCTTTCCATCTATTAAGTTTAAATGTCTTTCTAATCCTTACTTTGAGCACACTTGCAGCTGCAGAAGCCAAGGCACAGGAGGAAGTATGTCCCGGAGATCTGAGAGTGCTGTTGGACCCTCGGGTCTCAGTGAGAAGTAAGCAGTTGTGAGCGCTTCTCTTGTGCTTTGGCATAACTGGAGAGGAAAGTGAACCCACGGGTGTTGAGCCCACACACTCTTGCCCTGCTGTTTGTCACTTGCCCAGTGGTGACATTGCCCAGCTTCTCACAGACACTGTGTCCACTGGCAATTTCCTGACTGTTCACTTGCTCTTGATATTGTGACTTAGTTACATTTCTCTCTTTCTTTCCCTCCCTCCACACCCCTCCGATCTCCCCCAACCCGGTACCCCTCACACTTGACCCCAGTGAGGTCAAATGAACAAAGTGGGAATTCTGTTGTTATCAAAGAAACAGTAAGACAAAGGTTTTTTAACCTTTCTTTTGCTCTCTGAAGACACTGTCCAAGGGTTGCTGTTTCCTATGTATGGAGGTCAGCACCTTAGGTCATTTGTGTTTCTATTGACTTTGGTATTAAATTCTAAAGTATAGATGAAAAAATTCAAATTCCATATTCTCAAATAAATTGTACATCCATTAATCATAGAAAATAGTAATTGCTTTCAAAAGAATAACCATTACATTTTCCATCTTTGTTTTTCTCTCTACTTGGGCAGGCATGTCAGGATATTGACAAAGGTTTCCTGCTTTCATCACAGTCTGAGCTTTCATTTCTGATCTGACTGACCTTTTCTTCCTGCCTCTCTTCTCATCTCTGCTGTGTATCATTCCAGTAGAGGTATATCGTCCTTCTCACTCCCCTTCCTCCCTCACCTCCCCCGACTTCTTCCTACTCCTTGTCTTCCTCCTCCTTCAGTGGGTCTTGGTATGTAGCCCTGGCTGTCCTGGATCTCACTCTAGACTCTCTGAGTGCTGGGCCTAAAGGCGTCAGCCACCAGGCCTGGACCATATTTCTTGTTTTATGCAGAGAGTCCCATTTGGGGGGCAGACAGCAGGTAAGAACTGTGATTAGAATTGTAATCTTTTTTGGTCTGAGCAAAATTTCTGCCAGAATACTATATTCTGTAGTTTATTCTGTTACTAATTAATAAATATAATCATTAAAATACCTAAACTATCTTTGTCTTTGTTCCAGCATTTTAATCTCTTTAACCCAGTACCAATTTAAAGAAAGTCTTTTGTGTTCCTTCAAATCTCCTTAATCCAAGAGATTTTCTACTGATGGGTTAAAATAGAGGAGAGGATGACTAGACTCTCAGTTTGGAAAAGTACAGACGTTATTCGGAGTGCACATCTTCACTCCTCGTCTAAGATATCGCCTTTAGCCAAGGTCTATTTTAAGGGATCTCAAAATACAGAGTGTTGAGGCCTCAGAGCTCTGTTTAAGTTTATGAAAGTAATGTATACATTTGAGACTTGATTTTGAAATTATCTAAAAGAATTTATCATGTTTCATATAGATTGATTCTTACTGTTTAAATTGTATCTGGCCAGAGGTTCATAGCCTATATTCTAAGAAATACTATCTCTTTTGAAAAACGAAAGTTTATAAAATAAGCAGGATTATCTCTACTTGCAAAGGATTTATTATCTTTAAGCCATCTCTTCCTCAAGGATTAAAATAATAGCAAAGAGACCGCACAAAAAGAAGTAGCTCTGGCTGGGACACAGCTCAGCTGACAGAGTGTTTTTCAGGCATGCACAAGGTCCTGGGTTTGATCCCCACAACTCCTAATGATGGGACACTCCTGTAATCCCACTTGTGAGTTGGAGGAAGGGCACCACAAGTCAGTGTCATCCTTGGTTACACAGCAGTTTTGAGGCCCAACTGAGCTACATGAGACTGCCTCAAAGCAACAACAACAACAACAAAACCTAGACATAAAAATCCCTAGGAACAAAAAGGATCAGTTAACCTGAAAACAATGCTTTCCAGTTATGGTGGTAAACAGGTCAAGGTGTACAACAGGACAAGAAAGGTGATGGGGCTGGAAAAGCGACAGCTGAGACTAGAGAGCCCTAAGTGTGTAGCGTGAGTCCTAATAGGTCTTAGTAGTAAAGGCCGGGAGTCAGATGTAGAGGTAAATGCTGAAAGATCAGAGAGACAAAGGCATACACCACAGCCACACCTTACTCAAGCTCACAGTGGAAAAGACACTGAGCTCTTGTCTCCTCTTGCCTGTATTCCTCTCTCCACCTGTCCACATAACTCCCTGTCTCTACACACACCTCCAGACCTCTGTGGTTAGCTAGTGGCTAGCTTGCCCTCTGATCTTCAGGTAAGCTTCATTTGTTAGAGCACAAACAAAATATCTTTAAAGCTGTGGGGACATGGCAAAGGGTTGGAATCAGAAGATCAGAAGAGTGATACGGTCATAATTTTGATCAGGAGTCTGCAAGCCTTTTCTGGAAAGGACTAGGTAGTAAATATTTCACTTTGCAAGACTCATAGTTACTATACAGCTAGTCAACACTGCTATCATAGAGTGAAGGCAGCTGCCACAGTGTACAAACAGTAAGTGGGAGTGTGTTCCAGTAAAGCTTCATTTACAACAATTTGAATATAATAAAAATTTCAAGTGTCAAACAACAACAACAAAAAACCTGTGATTTGCCACCCCTACCCCCCCAGCCCCCTACTCCCCTACCCCCCTAGCCCCGTACTTTAAACTAGAAAAAAAAAAATATTTAGTAACATTTGGCTGCATTCAATAGTTTTCCTCTACCTCATTTAGAGGGAGACCTGAGGCTGCAGTGTAGAGAAAGGTGAAAGGCTAGCTTTCAGGGTAAAGGGTTAGAGTAGAAGAGACAGGTCATTTCAGGTCCTTCTCCTCACACCAGTGCCCTCATATTGACTTTCAAAAACAATACTCAGGACTGTGGATTCAGTTCCAAACTCAGCTATTGGCTGTGTGGCTTTTGTATAGCTTATCTAACACTGTTTGACTCTATTTTATTATTTGTAAAATGGTTATAATGCATAAATTGCCAAAGTATGAAATCAATTAACATATTTGAAGTGCCTGCATACTGTAATGACTTGGTAACTAGAGCTTCTAGTATGTTTTTCCTATCACTCACCTTTCAAATCTTTGTATTTAATTGTAAGGTGTGTGTGTGTGTGTGTGTGTGCGCGCGCGTGCATGTGTGTGTGTGCGCGCACACGTGCGCACACAAATGCTCGTGAATTAATAATCTACAGTAATGGTAGCATTTGAAACCACTGCAAAAAAGTTTTAGCTAGTAGTGTTGATGGTTCATCAGTATTCATAACAAAGAGTGAATGTGCTGATATATAAATAACCAGTAGAGAGAACTAAAAACCAGATTAAACCACAACAAGGCATTTCAAAATACCGAAATTAAAATAATCCATAAACACAGAAAAATGTTCAAGGTCACTGGTCGTGAAATGGTGGACTAGGGCTCTTGACGCAGTGCAGGGAGCAAGTATCAGTAGGCTTTTCCTGAGATTCTTGTCAGAAAATGTCTGCCTATACATAGACACATATTTTTGTGGACTTTCTTTTGTCTTGCATTGTTCCATAGTTCTGTCTTCGTGTCAGGATAATTGGGGTTTTTCTTGAGAAAAACTTACAGTTAGTTTTGGAATTGGTATTGCCTGTGAATTTTAGGATACATTGTTTTTTCTGGTTTTGCACAGACATATCACTGAAGCATTGATAAAACTGAATTGATCACTTTAGGTACAACTGACATCTTTTTTGTTTTGTTTTGAAGTTTCCCTACATATATATGCTGCATGTTGAGACTTTTTCTCATCCCCTTTCCCACTTCTTTTTTTCTCCATAATTTTATTTCTACTTTCATATCATATATACATATAAGACTTTATGTATCTCTATAAAATGTAGGAACCACAAATGAGAGAAAACATAATTTGTCTTTCTGAGACTGGCATAATTCAGTTGACATATCTGTTTTCCTGTAAATTTTGTTGGCTTTTTTAACGTTTTTTTATTTAAATTAGAAACAAGCTTGCTTCACATGTCAATCCCAGCTCCCTCTCCCTCCCCTCCTCCCCCGCCCCCCACTAATCCCCTAACCCCTCACCAACTCCCCACTCCACTCTCTAGGGAGGGTAAGGCCCTTCATGGGTGATCTCCAAAGTCTGTCATATCATCCAGGGCAGTGCCTAGGCCCTCCCCCATGTGTCCAGGCTGAGAGAACATCCCTCCATGTGGAATGGGCTCCCAAAGTCCATTCTTATGCCAGGGATATATACTGATATAGTACCCAAGGCCCCAAAGATAGCTGAGGCCTCCTCACTGACACCCATATTCAGGGGGTCTGGATCAGTCCCATGCTGGCCTCTCAGCTGTCAGTCTGGGGTCCATGAGCTCCCCCCCTTGTTCAGGTCAGCTGTTTCTGTGAGTTTCACCCACCCGGTATGAACCCCTTTGCTCATTACTACTCCCTCTCTGCAACTGGTTTCCAGAAGTTCAGTTCAGTGTTTACCTGTGGGTGTCTGCTTCTGCTTCCATCATCCACTAGATGAAGGCTCTAAGATGGCATACAATGTAGTCATCAGTCTCATTATCAAGGAGGGGCATTTAAGATAGCATCTCCACTATTGGTTAGATTGCCAGTTGGCGTCATCCTTGTAGATCTCTGAAAATCTCACTA